CTTTGGTGGAATTTTGCTGCTGCGATGTGTTTTATTGGAACATTTCCTGTGAAGACTTGGGTAGCTTCATTTCCAGTGCAATCATATCAATTTGCTTCCATTTATGGAGGAATTGCATTAGTTGCTTTGAATTGTAATTTGTTCAGTTAAATGTTTGGTTTTACTAGTTTATCTGGTTCTGTTTGGAATTTGGTATGGATTTGATCACATTAGAGATGGCGAGTTTTTAGACATTTCACTTAGAATATTAGAGCTTGTTCCTTTGATTGCAGCATTTTTTTTTGTGAATTTGTATCAATTTCTACTTTTTTCACACTTCTGGTGTGATTTGTTCTGAACTTTGAAGTAACACATTGCTATCAAGTTTAGTTGAAGGAAAGAGTTTATATAAGTGTGAGGCTCTAAACAATCAGATTGAACAATCAAATTAAAGCGCTCCTCAACAATTTCACTAGATGAGGTTGTTTTGATGCCCAAATATCATCAAATTCATCATCTTGACCTCAAGATGCATGGACATGAGAAAAAAATGGATTTCATGTTTTGGAAGTAGTGCATCTTGTAATGCATTTTTTGACCATCAATTTTCAAGATTTTCAATTTTTCATAGATCTGCTTGATCTACACTATTTTTGAAGCTTTAGTTTCATAATTAAAGATGAAAATATATTTTAAGGCTTTCACAAATATTTCCAATATTGAAACCACATTTCTCGACACTATTTGAAGGTGTGCTTTACTTTGATTGTTTAGAGCCTCAGCATTATACAAACCGCACTCTTAGTTGAATATTTATCACTTCAATTATATTTAGGGTATGTTGCATTATTTTTTGTAAATTCCTGTGCATTTTCCATGAATTTTTTTGTTATTTGGTAATATTAGTATTCATTAAATTGGGAATGGATCATTAGTCACTTGTCCTTTCGATGTTACTTTTACTATATTTGGCAGTATTTGGATCTCTTATAGTTGTACTACAGCTAGAAATCTTGCATTAACACACATTGGTGAATGTTGCTTGTGCCTTTAATTCGGAATGTCCTTTAACTGGCAATGAAGTTACACGTAGTCTTTGCTGTTTTGGGTTAATCTTGGTGTTTTTTAAACTGGTTTGGATTCTTGGCAACAGAATGTTTTCACATGTTTTGACAGTTCTGTGCTGACTCTTGGAGTAGCTTCTTCTTCTTCATTTTCGTTTGATCTGTGGGGTGTGTTATTTCTTACTCTTGTTTCTGTTTCATAAGTGATTCTCTGATGGGTTTGTTGCTATATATGGTGAGCTTTGCTTCAATCGCATAGACTTGACCATGTGTGTAGAAACTTGATGATTCCAACTCGGACTCACCTGACTCTGAACCAGCACTCCGGTACTGCCAGATGAGCCAGACTTGGATGTTCCAAAAAGTCTGATCTGACTCTGGCTGAGCCTACCTGAGTCTGTCTGAGTCTTCGAAAATTCCAGTGATTATTCTTTAGACATATGATTGCCCCAGTCACTCATGTTGGGGTCTATGCGGCTCCATGTCTTTAAGCAATTGATTGAAAAACTAAAACCAGAGTTCAACTAGATCACTTAAAAATCTGAGTTGGATCGCTGGTTCCAGTTGGATCATCTGGTTCAGAGCGATTCAGCTGAAAATGGCACGAAAAAAAAAAAAAGTGAATCTTAAAGATGAAAGGTATAGATCTTGTTGATCAATGAAAAATTAGTGGAAGATTCTTTGTAAGAGTTGTTGTAAAAAACAAGGGAGAAATCAATTGAAAGGAAAAAAAGGGTGGAAAAAAAAGGTTTTTCCGATCCAATAATTGAAACACATACGCGGGAAAATCTGGCAGTTCATCCTGATTCCCAAATCGCAATGTCTGCTGCAGTGAACCAGGTGATTTTCATAAAACAGACCCGAGTCTCCTTTTGGCCTATCCAGAGCTGGTGACTGGCAGTTTGCGAGTTGGATCGGACGTGGCAATTTTTGCACACTATTTTAAACACTCATTTGGGGATGTTGAATCAGCCATACTTACTTTATCTAATCTTTCGTGTGATTTTTTTAATTTTAAAATTTTGTTTTAGGGGATTGAGTTGTTGTGGTTGTCTTGAATTTTATGATTAGATCTGTGCTGTTATTTCTTTCAGTAATTTCTTTAGACTTATTAGCAGAATTATTTTGTTGTTAAAAAACTTGATTTTTTGCCAACCCAGTGAATGGAAGCCTGAAAGCTTACTTTAGTCATCACAGTTAAGAGGCTCGAGAATAGCAACTGCTTTATCCTCTCTCATTTGCAATATTGTCAAAGGCATTTGGTTTCTTGCGTAAGCAAAATAATGGTGTTGCTTCTTTGGCTTGGATAAAGAGAAGATATTAATATGGTTTAAAAGTTCTTGCAGTGTTTTATTAAAACGAGAAGTATTTTCCATGTCATAGTTGACACTTTACTTCTTTATTGTGCTACATGATGTTCCGGCTAATGCATGGGTTTCAATGGGTACTTACAAGTTCTTTCATCTGAAAACTTACTTCTTAAGATGCTTATGTGATGCATGGGCCATTCATTCGATCTCTATTCTGAGTTGCACTTTTAATGACATTTTCAGGAATGGAAATCTCCTAAACCAATGCACTTGCAACTATTAAAAGGTGCTTTGCAGCATCAATTGGTAAGTATAGCATGGCATAGTCCAGGCACTTGTTTTATCTGCCCTGCTTTTATTTTATGATGGCTGATATATTTTGTTGGTGCATACTGTTTTTTTAAATTAAGATGGATGATAAGCAATCGGATCTTTGGAGCCCATTGCCTAGTCAAGGTTGGAAAGCTTGCAATGCACCTTTTAGCACTCCAGGTGAGTGCCCTTGGTTAGGATTTTTAGTAGTCTTTAGAAATAAAAGTAGATTTGAAGACAACATATGCAAAATGATGATGGTTAGACCATGTTGTATTGTTGTGATGTCCTCGTTTTGGCCTGGGTTGGGAAGCTGATACATTAGTTACAATACCTGTTGAAACAGTGCTCCCAAGGAGATCACAGGGATATATCCAGGTCTTTCTTGATGGAGGTTTGAACCAGCAGAGAATGGGGGTACGTATTTCACACTTGGGAATCATAAGTTTCTGGTAATGGTATTAGCAAACATTGCAAATTTGCATTTTTGTGCTCTATGCATGAGAATGCAGTATAAAGTGCCAATTATTAATGCCTTAAGTTGAAGTTTCCTGATGTATGCTATCAATTTTCTCTGGCTTGAAGATATGCGATGCAGTTGCTGTTGCTAAAATATTAAATGCAACCCTTGTGATTCCTCATTTTGAAGTGAATCCAGTTTGGCGAGATTCAAGGTATTGTCTTTGGAAATTTTCATACCTCTCCTTCTGTCGTTTATATCCAAGTATCTCATCTACAGGAATTTCCTTTGGTCTTAGTCAATCACAGTCATGGTGATTGTGCACATGATTTTGCAGCACCTTTGGGGACATATTTGATGTCGATTACTTTATTCATGTCCTGAAGGATGACATTAACATTGTAAAAGAGTTACCCGGAAGGTTCTCATGGAGCACTAGAGAGTATTATGCTACTGCCATTCGATCAACTAGAGTTAAGACGGCCCCTGTTCAGGCTTCAGCAAATTGGTATCTGGAGAATGTTTTACCAATTTTGCAGAGGTAATTTGAATTATTGGACTTTTGTTAGAGACACACAAGTTCTAGCGACATTATGATTTCTTGTTGTATGAATTATATCAACCTCTAACTGGTTTTCTGATTTGTTAGTTAATCTGATAACCTGAGTAGTATGGCAAGTGTTCTTGCGCTCAAACTTCTATCGCAGTGTTGAGAAGTCCCACAGTTAAAGGGCACTTGTGGTCCTATTTTACTGGATTGTTACATTGAGTTCTCACGTTCATAATCGAAAAGGGATTCTCAAATAGGGAGATTGATTCATCCATTCACATTGCATGGAAATCAAAATCTAAGAAACTTGGGTAGTTTATTTTTTATTTGATAAATAACTCCACCATGGCCGGTCCTAAGCCAGTCATACCAGTCCCAAGCCCAGATAAAGGAGGAGGGTTGTGTTAAGTAGGACAGCTAGCATAAAACTTTGCCACATATTTTCATGAATTCTGAACCTATGGCGGTATAGGATTTGTGTGGCCGACCCCAAATAGTGGGGATGAGGCTCGGATGATGATGATGATTTTTTATTGACAAATGTGTTCTCCTTGAGCTGCATATGTTTTATTAACAAGCTTAAAAGTAAAATTTCTTAATGAAATATAAGAAATGTACACTTCTCTCCCGATCTGTTGTCATCTTTTCCTATTTCGGAAAGTGTTTGAATCTCGAGAATGTAAAATGATTTTTTCAAAGCTTCACTGGAACTATAAGCCCTTTTTTTATTTTGGTGATTTCTATCTGGGCACCTTCTATTGAATCTGCTGAAGAGCTAGGCTTATATTGCTTCATTTTTTTATCTTTTTCTACTTAACGCTGCAAAGTGTTAAAAGTAAAGTTCTGTTTTACTACTATCCTTTTGATGGTGGTAGTTTTGTTATTGAGCCTTCATGGATTTGGATTTTATGATGAGCTTTTGTCTTTTCTTTTTCAGCTATGGCATTGCTGCTGTTGCTCCTTTTTCTCATCGTCTAGCCTTCGACAACTTGCCCAAAGAAATCCAAAGGCTACGTTGTAAGGTCAATTTTGAAGCTTTGGCCTTTGTTCCACATATCAATGCTTTGGGACAAACCCTTGTCAAACGCCTAAGATACCCATTAGGTGATGGAGGATTGTTGAGGGAAAAAGTTGATGCAGAGATCAATCCAATTTCTGGAAAATTTGTTGTTCTGCATCTTCGTTTTGACAAGGTATGGCAACTGTGAAAATTTGTTGTTCTGCATCTTCATTTCGACAAGTTATCACAACTGTGGCTTTTTAAACACCATCTGTTTTATTCAGATACAAATGATGTGTTTCAATTTGATGGTTTTACCCAATTCTTATAATTTCATTTGATGACTCTGTTCTAGTTGTGTTAGTGAAGTCATGCAAATGATGTTATTCTTCCTCTACTTGGGCCTTTCTATTAGTTATTTCTGCAGTTCATTTCTAGTTAGTCCTTAGGAACTTTTAGTTCCTAGTTGAACCTTCTCCATATCTTGAAGAATTTGTTTACAACATGAAATGATTACAGTTTAGGGGCCTGTAAGCAAATAGCAATCCCAATGAATGACCTCAGAAATACCTAATAGTCATCTAAGGTCTCTGAACAGCATGCAGACATCTGTGCTTATAAAGTTCTTGGTTCATTTAGTGACTTTGTTATTGTTATTCATGACTGCCACAGAGAGAGAGAGGAGGGGGGGGGCACAATAACATGCATGGGAAATTTTTTCTTTTCATAGGAAAATCGTGTAGGCTCATTCTTTCAATGCCTTCAATGAATCATTAAAAACCACTCTTGACATTTTAACTGTGCATCAGAGAGAGAGCGAGCATAAATGGTCGAGGACAAAGATTCCCATAATGTAAATTTCCCATGAATCCATGATTTTAATGACTTCAAGTATTTAACGAACCATTCTCTAAATCTAACTATGAATTCCTGCTTATTAACACGATCTTATTTGATGTGCAGGATATGGCTGCTCATTCAGCATGTGATTTTGGTGGTGGCAAGGCTGAGAAGCTTGCCCTTGCTAAGTACCGGCAAGTGATTTGGCAAGGCAGGGTCTTGAATTCACAATTCACAGATGAGGAGTTGAGGAATCAAGGCCGCTGCCCCCTAACCCCTGAAGAAATTGGATTGTTGCTTGCAGCTTTGGGCTTTGATAATAATACCAGGCTCTATCTTGCCTCACACAAGGTTGGATGTATTTTGCTCCTTGTATTTTTCTATAATTAGTTTTAATAAGTTTTGAGCTCTCTCTCTCTCTCTCTCTCTCTCTCTCTCTCTCTCTCGTACGTCGTACGTCGT